ATTGCATTCAGAATACTCCAAATACATATTTGCCAGCTCTCATGACCAACAGCTTCTACTCCCCTCTTAAGTAAAGTATGCACTCACCATGTGTTTGAGGAACAGCTTTTTAAACACGAATGAAGAATTAGCACAGTGTCTATTTTATCTGAAACTGAACAAATATCTGAGGAAAAAGTGTTTTTGTGCATTAAGGGTACGACTGCATCTTTTTAGTTTCTTTTTGTGTGTTGTTTGTTTGTTTAAATAGGTAGCTTTATGAGAAAAGTACCAATGGAGCCTGGAAAGTTCCTATAATCATTGGCTTAATTTAGTATATTTAAAATACATTTCTTGGTTATAAAGGAGGACATTTGAGACCACATGCTAAGCATTGGTTTGCATTAGCTTTTGGGAATAGGAAGAAACCCTACTGGGACTGAATTATTTTAACTCATAGTGGACAGCCTTGACTGCCTGGTAGAAATGATATACAGATACATATGCATATGCATATACATATTATAAAACAGCTACAGTTTTTGATAGAATCCCTTACTGGGTTTGCATGATAGGAAACTGTCAGATCTAGAGATCTCACGCTTGCATGTGGTAGTCTTTTTTTTTACTTTCTAATTTTTGTGCTGCGTACAAGTCCTGTAGCTTGTCTTTCTCAGTTAGATCTCTCCAGGTTTCCTACCCTACCTTTCTATTCTTTGAGGTCTCCAGGGTTAAACCCACACTGCCGATGCACAGCACCATGCTAATCATTGGAGCAAACCCCCCACCCCCCTCCATATTGTCAGAGTGCAAAATGATCTGTTTTCAGGCATTAAGCAGTCAACTAGATGTAAATTCCATGAAACAAAAAAAACAAAAAAAAAGGTATTATTTACAGTTTTATTGTGATGCTAATTCATATTTACATCTTGGAATGAAAAAAATAGGAATGTTAATGATTGGCTTTACTAAGAGGATCACTTGATGCCAATGTGAAAGCCAGGGAGAGAAGGCAATTATGCAAACATCACATGCATCCTAATTTCAGTATGGAAACTTACATTTCAAATCTAAATTCAGGAAAATAACATGGAAAGTTTTTACTACAAAAATCTAAACATGAGAAAGATTTAAGAGAAAAAAAAAAAAAGCACATTGCATATGTCAGATAATCTAGTCTGATTATCTGAGCTGTGCTAGCTACAGGGAAGCACTTACCCTTGAGTCCAGCTAGAAGTTAGCAGGGTAAGAAGGAACAAACCAGAATAACATAAAGACTAGCAACAAGGCTCAGGAAAGCAGACAGGAACCCTAACCTAGCAGCTACAATACTTGGGTTCAAGCAAAGAATGAAAAAGAAACTTAAAATAAAACAAAACAGAACCGAAAACAACACTTACGGCTGATCATTTCTTATGAAGCTCAATAAACCTCGCCATTTCTTATGGTGGAACAAATAATTACAGTTCTCAAAAACAGCCAACTCTTTGCATATGATGTGGTTAACAGTTATTAAATATAAACAGACATTAAAAATGAAATATAATAACAAGTGATATGTAAAACAATTACTGACCAATCTTTAATGTTTAAAAAAAAAAAAAAGGTTTAAAAAAAAATGAAAGCTGAGCATGTTTGGTTTTTTTTGTTTAATGTACCACTAACACAGAACGGACAAAGATTGGTACTCTCAGACAAGTGGCCACTTTTATGAAGCTTAATATATTGCCAAAGGGTGTAATATATCTTGGCAGCATTATTAACTCCAGCACTGTGCATCATTTCAACAGTAAACAAGAACGGCTTTGGGTTTTGCTTTTATAAGGCAAATATTTGAGAAAAAAGTATCGCTTGGTGTTAATAGATATTTTTTTCCTTTTAAATTGTAGCAAAACAACAAATAAGCAGAAGTTTTCAATCTAACAGGTGTTGTTTCACCCACATAAAAGGGATTGTACAGTCATACACAAATTAATGAATAGCAGGATCTATTTTTTTTTCCAGTATTTAAATTGCATGTAAATACACTCCACCCTTGTTTAGAGCTGCCTGTTTCCAAGCCAAGTGTTGCTAACCAGCTAGAAGATGCGAAGTCGGGTACTGCATAAAGTTTATATTTGCTAAATCAAATTAGGTGGCAAACAAATGAATTCAGTATTACTACCAAGTTTCCCCAACTGTAAAACGTGTTGTTCTCAAGTTTCTGTTTAGCAGACAGCTATATCACAAGACCGGAGTGATGGCTCTTTGTGTGTGTGTGTGTGTGTGTGTGTGTGTGCACACGTGTTTGTAACACAAAACACTTCTACCATCTTTAAGCAGCTTACTCTGTCCATGAAAGTAGTAACAAAATAATGACTAGTTAAACTGCGGTAACGTTTAGGCTCTTGCAATTCCTTTGTTTAGCAAAGTAAATAAAGAAAAAAGAAAAAAAAAACATTAAAGAAAAAAAAAAGCTGTGCAGGATATATAGTTAAATGCACAAGACTGCTTAACAGTTTTCCTTACCTTTTTGCAGGCAACACAAAAGAACAACCAAAAAAAAAAATACAATCAACAAACCCAAATCCCTTTTAAAATGCAATACTTGATATATTTGAATGTAAAAGATGCAATGCAGATTTGTATCTATAACCCAAGCACCTGGGAGGAATCATCACGTGTTTAGTTATTTAGGCTGTGTATGTTTGATCGCCCAACACCCTTTGGAACGTCCAAGGAGCGTGTGCTATTCTGCAGACATGAGAAAGAGCGCTAGGCACGAGCGCTAGCTCCTTGCTGCTGGCACAAACAGAGCAGCTGAAATGCAAGAATCTGAGCTACAGCATGCTTCCCCTTTCCTCCTAGATCTGAGTAAGGGGGTTCCTTCAAAGATATCCAAAACCATGAGTTGACGTGAAGGGGCAGGGCAGAGGAAACGCCACGATGCATGACATCCCCAAACCCACGAATGATGCAGGAGGGCAACACAGGTCTTCTGTATCCCTTGCAGCCCTCCCTTCCAAGGGGCTCCTAGCCCTAGCAGCAGGAAGGGGGACCACTGGTTCCCTTGTTAAGGGGCCAAGGCAGAGGAGAAAGGCCTTGGGCTGGTGCTGAAGAGGATGGGAGAAGATCCTGATCAGAGTAGAGGCCCCTCCGGGGGTGGCTCTCGACTGTACTTGCATCGTGGCACAGGGAGCTGAAGCTCGTTCGAGAACAAGAAGGAAAATGCCAGAGCAAGGATCTGCACGGAGGTGACTAGCACAAGCCTCAGCGGGAGCGTGCTTGTGTCCCCGGCTGCTCATTCGTAGGGCGAGGGCAACCCGCCGTCCCTCTCTCCTTGCTTTGCAGTGAGCGCGGTGTTACTTACCCCACCCCTGGTCCTGGGACCACACTGCCAAGCAGCAGAGTCACGAGTGACGATGCCCTTCCAGCATGGCATCCCTAGGCTGCTGTTGGCTCACACTGTTGTATCTGCCCTTGATGATGATGCCACATACACAACCTTTAAAGGACAGGCGAGTTTTAGACTAAAAACACCTGGAGGTACCCAGCGGAGGGAACTCGTGGCCTGCAGGACTCCTCAACCGGCATTCAGCTATCATCCCCTGACTCAGGGGGATGCTGGGGTGGGACGGGGTGAACCCAGGGTGCCGATGCTTGCTGGCAGAGAGCTGCTCAAGGGATGCTGCCCGCTACCCTCATTTCCAGCAGCTCAGAGGCTGCTCTGAAGTACACCACGCCAGCACCGAGCCCTACATCAAGAAGCTGCAGCAAGCAGGTCCTGATTGCATCCAGCTTGAAAAAAATGCCCCCGAAGCACAATGTTCTTGCACTACAATGCACACCAATAGTGCGGAGAGACCACCGAGCCTTGGTCAGCACGACCCAGGCTCATTGACATAGAAACCGTGCCCTGTGAAATCCTGCGCTCAGTAATATTCTTTATTTGGCCAGGTCCTGCCTCTCTCATTAGGCCCCAGTCACTTAACCCTCAGGCCAACACCTATTAGACAATAGGGATTTAGCTTGCATACAGTAGAGGAGACGTAAAAAATGCTGAACCTATTCCCAAGCAGGTGAAGGACACTGTTCATCACAGGGCAAATTTTCTTCCAAGTTGCTGACCGATCCCTAAACATTCAGAACCGACTGCAATCCCACAGCTAGTATTTTAGTTCCTCCTCTCCAATTTCAAGTTGATTTCGTTTGAGGAATTTCCTAAATACATTTATTTTCTTTTTCTTATTTTACTTAAAGGCTTTATTCTCTTCTTGCTGTATGTGACTGACCCTAGTCAAAGTTAGGGATAGACAAGCTCTAGAACAAAGAAATACGTGGCATTACGATACCCTAGAGAAGACGGGGTGGCCCTTCCCTCATTTTCCTGCCTGTGTTGGCTTCTTATGTTTAAATGATGGGCTTTTTTGTTGCTTGTCTTTTTTAAAATTGAAGCCATGACTTACCAGGTGACAGGACTCGGGCTAAAGATAAAATGCAGCTCACTCCATACAGATGCACAGCATATGCAAAGCAATCGAGAATTAAAAGATGAACTGCTGAAAATTCACATCTAACTGGTCTATAAGGCAACCTGTTAAAATGACCATGTGCTTTCCTGCCATTTAGATTTTCTTCAGGGGACTGACCACCTTTAGTGGTCGTGTTTTGTATTTTAGACATTTCTACCCGCCTCTTTAAATACGCAGCTGAATTGCATAGGTAAATCCCAGCACTTGAACCGCAAGCTCCTGCAAGGCCGAGCCTTTGCCCTGTTGAAAATTTACCACCCAGAATCTCTCTCTTCCATCAAGTATTGCATCTTATTAAATACCAGCAAGTTCCCCACGAAATTCGCCTCTGGGGTTCAACTGTGTATAAAACACAGGCTGAATCCACTGATGTAAAAGCAGCTTAGCAAGGATGAAAAGAATGGAGTATTTGTAAAAAAGTTAAACTTTTGTTTCTGAGTATCTATTCACATCAGTGGAGAAAATCTTTCCGTCAGAGACGGCTGCTGGTAGGAGAACGGGTCTACTTACAGAATTGCGAGATCGGCGCGTCCAGCTGGGGCACGTTTCCTCCCTTGGCATTAAGTTTCTGGACCTGGGTGGGTGGCACCGGTTTGTGGGACTGGCCGGTGGCCCGGTACATGGCCTGCACCCAGAGGATGCGGTCCTGCTCATCGTCGCTGGCAAAGATCACCGTGTCGCCTTCCTTCACGGCATTGAAAAATGCTCGGCCACCCTCCAAGCCTGGCAGGAAAGAGAAGACACTTTAAAAAAAAAAAAGGGGGTATGCCTTCATAGGAAAGGAGCATCTAGTGTGACCCTTGCATCACAAGGGTGCACAGCGAGTCCCGTGCCCAGCCAGCTGAGCTAAAGGCCATCTTCCAGATGTCCAGTCCTGGACGTGTTGCCTATGGACATATCCACCATATCCATAGGTAACACAACAGGCTGTGGTTACCATTGGGCATTGCTAAGGCACGAATTTGGCTCTCAGCTATGCCAATGCAGGATGAGCTGGTGCAACCGTGGGGGGAGGGGGGTCAAAGGCTTGAGGGAACAATTCATACGACTCAATCATCACTCATTAATGGTGTGTTAGGTTATTATTTTGGCCCCACAGTTTAAAGAAGCTGGGTGTCAGCTTGATGTACCAGTCAAGCCCCTTATTTTCACCCCAACCCTCACAGAGAAAGCAAACTGTTCGGGCCAAATGGTGCAGTCCCTTCTCCAGCACAACTCTCGTTAATTGTTCTGTCGCTAATATTGCTCTCCCGAAAATGCCAAGGACTCCCCAGGGTGAGACTCAGCAGGGCCTTCCTCATCTCTCTTTTCCCACGAGTGAGCGCGTGTTGCTGTCTTTGCCCCTGATTCAGGGCCCAATTCTCATCTCCGCCACATCACGGTATATCTAGAGCAGCAGAAAACAGGCTCTTAGCTGCCCGGTCAGGAAGGGAATTGCCCCTACCTATATTCCTACGTGCACAATCATCTCTCAGGGTGAAATCCTGGTCCCGTGAAGTCCCGAGGACTTCTACCACTGAATTCACAGGGCTGGGATTTTGCCGTTAGTCTGCCATGGCCCTCCTTCAAAAGCTGAGCAGACCAGTCACACCAGTACATCCCAGCTCTGCTTTGGGGGGTTGCAATACTGCAACTCGCCCCAGAGGGCCTGATCCTGGCACTCAGAATAGCCCCAATGAAATCAAAGCAGCAAGGTGCAATTGCACACAGGGAAGGTGATCCGCATCTGGACTCCTGCGCCCACCAGCGAATGCAAGGAAGGGTGCTCTGGCTTGCTTTCTGTGCCATTCACTGGGACTTTAATTTGGGCAGGGCTGTCCAGGGAAAAATGACACGAAGGTCATATAGGTATTGCTTAGTTATAGCAAGAAGGGAGCATAGGAGGGGGGAATGGTGAAATGAAATGAAAACTTGGGTCAGGATTTTGGCTCAAGAGGTGCACGGTTCCTCTTGACTTTTCGTGGAAGCCGGGTGCTGCCTCACTCGGGCTCATGGGTAAAAGCCAACCTAAGTGCCATTATTTTTTTGTAATTATTTCATCGTTCAGCCCATTTCCCCCAAATCTATTTCTGGGCCATGTGGCTTGCAAGTTTTGCACGGACAGAATCAATGCAAACACATCAGTAACTTGGTCCCCATTCAGCTGCAAAGATAGACAAGGCGCTTCCAGGTTTGGACCCCAACCGAACCCCACAAAGGTGCCAAGCTCCTGGCTGGCGTGCCTCGTACCTGGCTGGGGGTCAGTGTAGTCCACCGTGTATCCGTCAAGCTGCAGCAGTTCTTGAGGTTCAGCCTTTTTCTCCCGGTAGCTGCACATAGCAAATGTATATTGACTCACCTGAGGAAAACCACAAAGCTAGGATGGCACCGGGCTCCCACAGCAAGGCAGTTCAGAGTGCAAACGCTTACAAACGATGCTTACGGACGGGAGGCTTGGACAGGGCATGCCATCCATCAGTGACAAAGACGGGGGGATGGTATTTTCTCACTGTCATTGCCAGCATGAGACAGACTATGGACTTGAGCATGTTCAGCAGAACCTTTTCTCGCACATTTTTTTCCAGCGGCCTTCAAAGCCTCTGTGCTGATATGTACGGTGGGTCCCCCCCCCGACCTCCCCCCAAAAAGGGGACGCTGCACACTTTGGAAACTCTATCATTCATTCTCAGACAAATGCCAGAGTGACACCTTGTCACAAACAATGTGAACTAAATTGCTAGGTGCCAGTCAAATTAATGCAATCTTAAAATCCCACTGATCTCTGCTGCTGTTGTCATCGGTGCTGTAAATGGCAGCTCTCACTCCTCTGAGTTACCATCTGTATGACACGATACATTCAATGTCAAGTTCTTGATGGGAGCCTTCGCTGCCGCGGGGGTCTCTGTCAGGCTCTCAAATCGCCTTTAGGAGGCCATCAGGCCGCATCAAGGCCCAGCTTATACTTAGCATTTTCGAATCTGGATTGTCTGGAAGAAGACTGTGAGGAAGCAAAGGATTCTCCATGCTTTAGGCTAGGAACTTACAGGGAAATTTACTGTCAAATGATTTCAAATGACTTTGTTAAGGTTGTGTCACATCCTGGATCCCTTACACAATTTTATTAGTTTAGACATTTTCTTGACCTCTGGAGGAAGCCTGGACTTCAGACGGTTCTTTCGAACTCGCGTATCAATGGATCATGTTCGGCATTTTTTGGAAGCGAGGAAACATCTCGAGAGGCAGGCTGCATGCAACCGTTTGCTCTCTCTGGCAGCCAAAGAGCTAAGAGATTTTGCCTCCAAACTTCAGATAAATTGCTCCATTATCAATATACGTGCAGCACAAATTTCTGCGGCATGTATTGCTAATAAAATGTTACTTATTTAGAGCAGAAGACATCGATTTTACCGGCAAGAAGGCTATTTCGATCGCTGCTTGGTACACGGCTGCCCTCTCTCGGTCTCTAATGACTATTACCACGTGCTTCTAAGCCTTTTTCTTTGCTGCACATTATTCTGATGAACAACTCACAACAAACATAAAGGCCACCCATTTGTGGGAGGAAAATTAAAATGGATATGTTAAGCATCTTGCCAGCTATTGCTAGGAAGAAGAGCGATCAACAAGTAACAGATCAACAGCGAAAATGTGCGAGTGACATACATGCATATTATGTGGCATGGACTTGGAATGAAATTAGGCACTCCACTTTATTAGCAACACATAAATTAAAATGGCTAACTGTAATAGACCTAAAAATAAGCCCGGAGCCCAGAAACACACTTTTTAGACAACTCGTGTATTTGCAATTCATTCAATTGCACTTTAATGTAGGATCTTGCTGCCACCTCCTGGTCCTATTGCAGAATGTATTACCGATCGGTAGCTCCCAATGACTTCACCCAAATAATCAGGATAGTAATCTTTCAAGTAGTTATTTAAAAAATTGGGGAGACTGGATAAATTTAAGTCTTGGAGGGAGGCAATATGAATGCAGCATTGACCTCAAATGATAGGACTTTTGTTGTTTCTTTCCCCCCCCTTCCAACTGTTATACCAATAGTTCACACTTATCCTGTAGTTTAAACCATCTTCTTGGACACACAAAGTGAGTTCTGAATTCAGGCTCTTTTTAGTCTACATGTTTTTCGTCTCAGATTTCTTAGACACAGAAAACATTCCCCATTGCCAACAAGGAACCAGCCAATTCAACATTCACATGAACACATATATGTGCTAAAGTCAACATGGCGCAATTTAAAAAAAATAACAAAATGCATTCATTTGGAATAATACCACTACTCTGACTCCATGGAAATATCCTGGGAAGAATTTGGTCTGTGGTTTCAAACCATCTACTTACCCAAGATGGACTTCATGAAATATTAAGACATATGCAGTTAATTACACTTTCATTGCACCCCCTAGATTGGTAAAACTGAGGCTTGTTATTACCGTGGAGCTGAAATAACTTCTCGCTTCTCAGGCGATTAAAACCAAGGCAATACCTTTCCTGTTACACGGCTGTATTTGAAACAGATATTTTTGTTAATTAAAACCAAACTCTTAGTCCATGGGTTTTCACTCATCTCCCATTTGCTTGTTGACAACGCTAAAGCTTGAGGTTTTTGCGGGGATGAAGGATTTAAAGCAGGTGTCGTAGTAATAATATGCTTCAGAGGGGTCACATATCAGAAGTCAGAAAAGGAAAATTAGTTGAATGAAAAGAGAAGGGTCCAAAAGCCATCGCTCTCAGGCCATCTTCACGACAGGGTGGATACGGTGCCCTAAGCAAGCATCGGTTGTGCAGCAGACGAATGCTTTCAAGAACTAAGAAACACCTCTCTTGGAAAACGCCCTGTCCTAAGATGCGAGCAGGTACAGTGCAACGTAAAGCAAGCCAGCCACTGGAAAGCACCATGGAAGAGGAGGGTTTTAAAGGGCCTGATGGAGATTTCTTGGTGTGGGCTGCTCAGGTAGGTGGGATGACATGAATGTGAACACAGGGAATGGGAGAGACCCTCCTGTGGAAAGAGATGAGGCCAGAGACTTGATGAAGGGAGTCAGGGAGGGGTTTTAAAGGCAAGACGAGCTTCAGCAAGTGTTAAGAAGAAAACTGGGCAGGAAACAATGAATGGAGCAGAAGTTACCGTATTGCAAGAAAATGCATTTTCATGGGACTGCTGAAAAACTACCCGCTGGGCCTGCAGCCATTTTTCCATTGCTTTAAACCTCCGTGATGTTGGTTTAGTTTTCTCTGCTGCATGGTTGCAGAGAGGCAAGTTATGTAAATGGAAACCAGGTTCAACCTGATGGAAGCAACCAGGTTCAAAGTCATAGAAACGTAAAGAAGTAGGGCTGGCAGGGACCTCCAGTGGTGAGCTAGCCTCGAGGCACGATCATCCCTATCCAAACCATCCTTTCCCAATCCATTGTGCAGGCTCTTAGCAAAACCACACAGATACCCCTGATACGACACAAGACTTCACACCCGAACCTGCCACAGGGAAAGCAGGGGGACCGTGGTGGCCATTGCCCTGCGTCTGTAAAGGTTGTTAATATACACTCAAGAGATCCCAGGAAGAGGGCCATGCCCACAACAAGCCTCAAAGGTGCACAGTGGATTTGCTCTCTTCCATGAGCACTTAAGGGAGTGACCTGCAAAAATCCTCTCGACTTCTATGGGAGAACATCTTTCAAGGAATATAACTAGGGGATTTGTGGGTTTGCACTCAGAGAGGATACCCAAGTCCCACTCAGACCAGGGGCAACGGCAGAAGGCATGTCCAGGCTGGAGTAGTAAGAGATGAGACAATGCACCGCTACCGATGCTGTTCAGAAAAAGCACTGAGTGTGTAGCCACAGCACGGTCGCACAGAAATGGCCAGAGTTAATGCAGTTCAGGGTTAAGATGCCAAAGGAGCTGTCTACTGTGTGCAGGGGCTTCCCCAAAGCACTGACCCCTTGATCCAGGAAGAAGCTGACCGCACTCCCTGCGGACCTTTCTATTCCACGAGGGACGTCATCCCTAGGCCCGAAGGGACATCTACAGTCTCGAAAAATAAGAGACTATTGGGAGTCTCATGTGCATTATTTTGCAGTCCCAGAGCTTAAGAGGTGACAGCAAGTTTGTCTCGGACTGCAGCTGTGGGAAGAGAGATGCTGGCCGTGGAGTCAGGCTTTTTCTCCAGAAGACAATGCTGCGCCAATGGAGATGGCGATTTCTCTCACCCCGATCTCCAGAACAACTGAACTTTGCAGTGGGTTGAGAGTCTGCAAAAGGAGAAAAAGGGGAAAGAGTGGCTAGCAAAGGGGGAGGAGATATGCAGCATGAACAGGGAAAGTCAGGAAGATGGAGGGTGAAACCTTGGCTCCATTCACAGCAAAGCTCGGGGTTCGACCCAGGCTGCCATGGGCAGACGGGAGAGGAAAGGAACAGAACGAGAGACTTGAACTAGACTGAACAAGAGACAACGGAGGAGGGCAAACCAGAGCAGGACTGCCTTTGCTAACTGTCTTTACAGAAGGACAGGATGCAAAAAGCAGGAAATCCAAAAAGAAGAACACCACGCAAGAGAGGAGAAAAAGATGAGCCGAGGGAGAAGACAGACAACACAAAAATGCCAAGGGTCACTTCTTTTGGGTTAGAAAATTAGATTTTACTTATTCATGGTTTTCCTCCCCCATTCCCTCACAGGGAGCATATTCCTAATGATTAATACATGGGGATGCTTATTGCTCTTTATCCAATACAGCAGTTTTGCCCAAGACAATCTCCCCTAGGACTCCACTCTCTTCCTCACCCTTCCAGCATGAAACAACTTACTCCACTTCACCGCTGCTCCTCACTGCTGACAGGGCAATGCTACATTTGGGATCAATTCCTAAATGGACCTTGATTCAATCAACAACAAATAATTTGCCCCAGGAGCGGGCAGCTGCCGGGCAGGTTTTTATTTCCACGGGAGACTTTAGCTCCCTGGTTTCAGAGGCAAATTTGCTTTGCAAGCTCCTGAGGTTACATCTGCAGGGTGCAAGGTACCCCCATGCTCAGCCTCAAGCTTTAGGGCAAGGCTTTGTGCTCTGATCAGCTCAGAGCAATAACGCAGCTGCACCCTCCTCCGTCAGGTGTGTCTGAGCACGGGGCTGCCTATGTGACACCTGAGCAGGGCAGGTGCACCGTCCTACGTGCACACAGACTGCCAGCTCTCCATGCATCGACTTAACCCTTCTAGGTAGCAAACCTATTTCCTGTGCACACGTGCACTGACTTTTAAACGGGAATTTCCCACGGACAGATTTGGACCACGCAAGCAAGGGCTGGATACTTTGGTCCCAGTTATGATGGATACTTTGATCCCAGTTGTGGTCCAGAGGCTGGTTGTGATGAACCAGGATGTTTGCCTACACAATTCCTATTTCCCTGCATTATACTGGTGATTACTGGGAGTTGTTAAACACAGATTTCATTTGATCTTCCCCAGAATCAACTGAGTTTTGCTAAAAGCAGGAACTGTCACTGCTGGTCTAAATTATACTGAGTTTAGGGAGTCTGTCACCAGAACTATAGATCCAGGCATAGACACTACAACTGTTTCTAATCTGCAGCAAGTTGATCTGGTTCCAAACACCATCAGACACAATCAGTTGAAAAATTGCTTCAAGCCATACAGCAGACATGTCATCCAGGTACAAAAAAGTGTTACTTCCCATATGCTGCCAGAGAGTGGAAAAGGGGTTCTGGCGAAGATGACAGAAGAAGAATAGATGCAGTCTGAAATCTCGAAGTAATTATTCCTCTGGCTCCTAAGACTGATTACAATACGGGGTGATTTGTTCCACTGTAGCCAACAAAACAACAATTCCTATAGGGTACATTAAGTCTAGCAGTGAATTACTGCGGGCACCATATGCTATATAAAAATCCCAACTACGTATCCCAAGACCCAGAACTGGCTAGCATCTCTGGGGAGAGCATATTCAGTCGATGTAGTGAGCTCGGGCACATGTCAGTTGTGGACGTGTACGCCGGGATGAATGTGCATTACCTTTTTCAGCCAGTCATAGGAAAAAAACCAAACCTTTACTCTAAAAGCTTTCATGGCTTACCATTGCCACAGGCAGTAGGATTGCCTTTCCCAAGCATTTCCCTCACTTGCAATGCTGCGGACCCATTTCCATCCAACCTCAGGGCCATATTCTGCCATCGCTTTCACACTGCATATCTCAGAATTTAAAATTAGGCAAGTAGTGAGTCTCTGCCATATCATTTACATCTAATCAGTATGCTGTTCTGCTGCTGCTCATCTCAAAGGGTGGCACATGCTACAAGCAGGGTGGGCAGTGCTCAGAGAGGGGTGCAGCTCTGCTTACAAAAGGAAATTACATTTGCTGGATTGGATCCTGTCCTCTCCTACTTAGGGGCATGAGGGCAGATGCTCGGTGACTTCGTTCAGCTCCTCGGTGTGCAGAGGTGTGCTTGCGACTGCCCAAATCACAGACCGGTCCTCCCCGACATAGAAACCCATCCTCTCTCGAGGCACCGGGATGGCCTGTCTCCCTGCAGGTGAGCACGGAAACGACTTTTCTACCCACGTTACGGATGAACTGATTTTGTGCTCCAGCAGTGAGCGAACTTGCACCCGCGCTCTTAATACAGGAACCAGTCTCCTGCCAGGCCTCCCCGGATACTTGTGCCCTGTCCTACTCCTCGGGATGTCTGCACGCGTCTGAAGGTGACGTTGCCACATGGAAGTGTCGGGGGAGAAGAGGCCAGGGGAGAAGCAAGAGGGAAGGACACAAGAGTGGAAGGGAGACCCACTGATTCACATTTGCATACATTTAAAAATATCACAATTCAGGCGTCTGGTTTGGTTCCTATAGGAGCCAGGATAATCCAATTACAGGATCGAAGGCTAAGAGAGGTCCTTATCCTATAATCTAGTTGCCCTTAATAAACCCAGCAACCTACGGCCTCAACGTGGCTAAGAATAAGCAGGCAGATGGAAAGAAAGTCAACTGCTACGAGCCTGGGACCATGGGCAGGGGGACAAGGTGGCCTTGGTCCACCTTGCTGGGGCACTTCAGGATGGCTCTAACCTGTACCTGAAAGCACAGAGGCACGAGCACCCCCGGGTACACTTCTGATTCATTAAAAATGTGCATCATCCTACAGCAGCCAAGGATGGGATGGACCCTGCCAGCTCCCTTCCTACCAATGCCAGCACAGCTCCAGACTGTGCAGAGGGCACAAGAGATCTTTTGGATCCACTGAATTACACCATCTCCAACAAGTCCTTCTGCAAGACAGGTACCTACTTCCTGTCTGACTCTTTGTTTTTGTTTTTTTTAGAAATTTCTTTCCATCGCTCAACCAATTTACAGATGTCCCCAAAACTGGAAGAGTGGAAAATTCACAGCAATGTGCAGAACGGCCAGGTGAGGGGCTGCGGATAATGAGAGTACTTGTCCATGTGAAGCCTTAAATCTAGGGAGAGAAGATGAACATCCAGGGTGCAGCCTGGCCCATGTTGTGGATGCCTGAGCCTCTAAACATGACCTGGAAAGGTCCCTGGAAAACTTAACTAGTTTTTTTAAGGCACCTTCATCTTGTCCTTCAGACTGAGTCACAAGCAGCAAGGAGGAGAAGGTCTTCACCCACCTTTTGCATTAAGGGTTTTCCAGGGGCTCGAGCAGGGTGGAATAGGATCAAACGTAGATACGTGGTCACCTAACTACCGCTTAGATGCCTAATAGATGGTACCAAGTCTCGCTCCCAAGGGGGATCATACAGCTTCACCGACTCGAGAAGAAACCGAATTTCACCCACACCCAAGAATCACAGATCCTCCTAGGCTGAGCTTATTCCCCCTTCCCTCATTCATCCTGCCTTGTTGGCTTGCCTTCATTTCACGTCACACTTACTGCAGGGATGCTATGAGATGGAGGTTGAAATCTGCACCATCTTGCAGGCAATACTTTTCTTAAGAAGCCTCCCATAGTACGTCAGAGTTGAGAACTAACTACAGTGGTTCGTAAATCAGATTTAAACATGTTTTATAGCATGAAAATGGTTAAAACAGTTTTAAGGAACCCGAGGGATTAACACTGAGAATTTGAGAAGGTTGAATTTTAGTTTAATGGGTTACCTGGACCAGCACAAAGAACCTTTTCTTCCATCTCTTCCAGACATTTTTACCAATGGCCCACAAGTATCTAGGAAAAAAAATACAGAACAGCTGGACTGAGTTCAGGAGTGACAACGGATGGTCCTATTGCGCTTCAGCGTTGTTTCTCCATAGCTAAACTCTAAAGTCAAAACAAAATCAGGAACAGCTACGAGTCTCTTAAACAGTGCAGCAGTTTGCGATTTCTGCTGTCAAAATACTCTGCAGAGACAGAAACATAAAAATCTATTTTAGTCTTAATGTTTTTCAGCATTATTTCCTCTCCTCCTCCTCCTTTTTAAGACAAAAATGAATGGCAAGGGCACAATAAGCATAAATTATAGGATCTACAATGAGAGCCAAAACCTGCAAAGAGATCAGCCTGGGTATGAAGTCAAGGCCGTTTTGGAGCTGCTGAATTTAGCAGTCCTTTCATTTTGCTGAGTGGCGATTGCACAGTCAGAAGAATACGTTGAAAGGGGAAAGGCTGGGGGAAAAAAACCCCAACCCTTAGTGTTGCTTCTAGCCCCCATCAAACCATTTTGCTGAGGGAGCTGACGCCCAGTACATCACTTAGCACATCCAAAACCAACGGGGGTAGCCCCTGGAAAAATGGGACCAACCCAACCAAATAACTCGGTTCATGAGCACACGACCAATTCCTGGACATCCTCTGACTATGCAATGCAGGTGAACTGGGTGCTCTTAATTAAGGAAGGGAATTCAGCCTTTCCAATGATGGTTTTCTCCAAGAAAACACATGTGGTAGCTGCCACGGCAAATCCACAATACAGCCACTTGCAAAAATAGCAATAATAGAACCAGAGACATCACCCAGTGCTAGAAACCCATTTAATTTATGGTGACTGCAGTGCATCACATTTCTCTCATGCTCCTTTATACCTTCACCTTGTTTCCGCAGCAATAAATATAAAAAACTGTAGCTTTTCATTATGCTGGTGGATCTCTATGTTAAAACACATATCTGCACATGTCTAGGTCTGACTGTAGTCAGGGGCAGGTCTTTGGGTGTCATATCATGACACAGGTACGGCTCCTTAGGTCCAAAGACAGCATGGCTCCTGTACACTCTTGCCATGGGCAACCTAAATGAGATGGTATGGTCTCCTACTGGCACTTCTCCGATCTCAACATAAATTAGGATGCAAACCAGAAAAAAAAAATAACGCTCTGAAATCCTAAAACGGAAAGGAGTTATGCCATTGACTTCAGTACAGCTAAGATTTCACTTCTGGTAATGCTAGCCCCGCAGTAAGCCTGAAAGCCAGCTGGGACCTTCTGCATAGAGGCTTTCTGTTTGAACAGTTTTTTAAAAACTGCAAGTCCCAACATAGAGCTGATTTTCGCAAAACGGAGTGCTGTTTTCTCAACAAGTGTCAGGAGTGAAACGCCGGAAGATTTCAGTCCTGACGAGGGCTGCAACATGCTGTCTCTAGTTGTTCTATATTTGCACAAGTAACAGTCAAATCCTTGACTGACAGCCTAAATGTATTGCACAACAAAGCCGCGTGCCAGAACAGGAGTGCCGCAGAAGAGAAGCACTTCACAGCGGAGGCTGTGCTCAGATCCTGCTCTCGGTTATGCCTGCACGATAATAATCCAGAATAATCTGCATCATCCAGAACAACTCCAGCGAGGCCAGTGGAGTTTCTCCACGGATGTAACTGAGCAGAATTTGCTCCCCAGGGCGTATGAGATAGGGGTAATGCTTTTATCACAAGTTCTCTGCAAATCAAACCTAGGGACCCATCTAAGGCCACTGAAGTCAATGGATTATTGCTCATTCACTTTAATGGGCTTCTGTTTGGGCCCCGAAGGCAGCTGTGATAATGAGCTAACTGTCTGAAGTACATAATTTTAAGCAGCATCTTATCAATCAAATGGTCGTTGAAGTGAGCAGGACAGACATCTCAGCTCATCAACTCTACTGCCAGCAGAAGCTGGAAGGAAACAGATGTGACCAAAGAGAGAAACCCTCTTACAGATCGGGGCTGGACTCAACCGCTGCCTCCCTATTGACTCCACTTTGGCCAAGGAAGAATTAACAGATGAGCACAGGAATTACAGAGCTCTCGTCTGCCCTTGGATCTGAGCGTGCAGCTCCTAACGATCCCAGCTGGGCTCACAAGGATGGAGGAGGATCTTCACCAACCCCCTTCCCCACCCTGCACTTTTCTAGTCTCTGTTGCATCTATCAGAGCTCCCAAAATCTCAAGGGATGAGGATTTCAATGCTCCTCCAAGAGACTCACCCACTGTCTAGGGGAGAGCTTTGCCAGGAAACTCTCCTTCTTCTTCAGGTATCACTTTTCACTTTTTAATGCCATTCCCTTACCCCTACTTGTACCCTCTTGTGCCACCTGTATGTGAATTCATTTAATTCGACATTTGCAAAGCTCTGCACAAATAACAATGATCTTTCTTCTATAGCTCAAGCAGAAACACTTTTTCCCCCTGCCTGGCTCTGAGCATTCAGTAGAGGAAAGAATAATTTAGGAAATTATACCCCCCGCCATAAAAGAGCTGGGCAGCTCACTTGTGATTTTCTGACACAGGAAAATAAAACCGCTTTAATTTCCTCGGGAGTACTGCTTAAGAATCCAAACCATTAGGCTGATGCATACAAGCTCATTAAAGGGATGATGCTAAAAATATGTAAAGTTCATTAAAATGAGGAAACTCATTTCATTTCTATATTTTTTCTTCTGGTGACCTTCTGTGGACCTGAAAAGAAAAGACTTTCTCTTTATTTCTGAATTCATACAACAAATGATTTTTCTTGTGTAGCCGAAGCAAGGAGAGTGCAGCACCAGAGCACTTACCCAGAATGCTTCATGTTCTGGGGTTTGTCCATTCGGACTGCGAGCTTGATCTTTAGGTCTTGGTCCGGGCAGTTTTTGGAAACAGTCATTTTGTGCCACTCGGACTGTTTGGGGCTGTTGGGCGTCGGGTGAAGAACCACCTGCACGTGACAAAAACAGCATTGGAGGAGAGAAACGACTGACTGCACTGGCAAAATATAAGGAAGGATTTCTCCAATTGAGGAAGGATTTCACTCACCGTTTTCCAAGTCAAACTCCAGTATTTAGGGACTAGATTATACAGCTCCCTCGGCTACTTCAGCTACCACATACTTGTTCTCTAAGTCTTGAAAAATGTGCCTGCCACCTATTTTGTCCCTCTGCATACATCACTGCAGTATTGCTCCATCTTAAAGCCATCCCAGGACAGACCACATCCAACTCATCCAGCGCAAGCCTCATGCATCCTCCAAGAGGAAGGGTCAGGCCCCGTTTCTAACATCACCTAACTTTCGCCTTGACATCTCCCAGGCTATGAGTCTGCTTCTTTGGGGAAGTTTCTCCTAACAATGGTTCAGTTTTCAGAGAACGAGACCGGAGGAAAAAAGTTCATCGTCTTGTCCATATTTACAAGAATGACTACAAATATTTTGTTGAGCGCTAGCACCTCCACGTACAGGCCAGGACTTGAGCCAGGTTGCAATTGTCTTGAGCCAGGTTGAGGTTGAGCCAGGACTTAAGGTGGGGTGGAGGTTGTCTTTTGCTGCTGACTCCACGCACAGCGCAGATTTTCAAGGGCTGATACAATGAACTAAATTGGGGGGAACTTTCCCAGGAGCAGCAAAACATAACCTCCTTGCTCTCGTATGCACAGGGCAGACTCTTTGGAAAGAAAGCTGGTATTTAGCCTTTAGGATCTAACAAAACTGTCTGCTGCTATATAGACATGCAAGACTGGAAGGAACCTCCTAGACCACAGAAACCCAATGCCTTGCATTTGCAGGTGTGCCTGTACTGTAGGAGCGATTGTTCACTGAATGCCCATCTCAGAGACGCCAGGTTTTACTAGTTTCTAATGACCATAATAAGTAATGAGTGGTCCAGCCGATATTTTTAAAAATATCATTCCCTATTCACTATTGCTACTAATAAAGATTTATTAAAGTCGTTTAAAGAGGAAAGCATAGAGAATGGAAGAGAAAAGAGGGAAGCTCACTGCTGGTTAAAATCCTTCATCACCATTGTACCCGGTCACAGATCTGGGACCCGCTCTGTTCACACATGCAAACAAAAGGATGGTCCAGACCCCTGGATTCAACAGGGTGACCAACGAGAGGTGCAGGGCAGAAGCATGACGGTTAATTTGATAACCAGAGCTGCGTGGGAAGGCAGAAGTCACAGCTCCTTCACTTCTAGTCTGAAGCAATTTGAAAAATCCTATATTTTTTATTACAAAAAATAATATGCACTGCAAAAGTCAGCAAAACAGAGAATAATTCACACTTTGTGAATGAATCTTAGGGAAAGCTTCCAGCAGGTGATTCAGCTGGGCATCCACGCAGACCACATGCTGCAGACAGAAGTTGTTTACCAAGGGGAGCATGAAAACCTTAGATTTAAACCCTAAAAGGTTTGGAGAGAAATGCTCAGGAAACATGAGGTCTTTCACACACATTGCTATTGGTACGGATCCTGGTAACATGGAGGACCAAATTACGTTCGTTAAGGAAAGCAACGTAAGCATGCGTTTCAATCACTTTGTTTCCCAAAAGGAGGCTTCTGGATTACGACATTTCAGCTTTCAGCACGGGGCACAGACACCGTTTGCTCTTTCCTGATGTTCACAGACCGCTCCGGCGCTGCCTTTCCCAATCTTTCTATAGCACACTCCTCTTTCAAGGTTTTCTGCTTGATTTTAGAAGCCAGACTGTTTTGGGGACATTCGCAGCATTCGCGGGGGGAGCAAAAAAGAAAGGTCAGTGATCTTTTCAGGCCTGAGTGTTTGTTGGGCCAGGGCAGCTCGGTTACATTGCACTTCCTAGGCCATTTTAGAGACCTGACGAGTGCGAGAAAACGCAACAAAACCAACCCTTTCCCCCAAACAACCAGAGCAAAACACAGCATTTCAGGTGCAAGCACTTTAGTATGAGGGCCTTCGAAAGAGGATTCCCTCCCCTCTGCGAGTCTGAACAAATATCCTCTTTTGGAGCAACTGCTTTTGGCTTGGCTTGACATGAATAATTCACTACAGACACTCTTTTGCTTCTTGACTGAATCGGTTCGGAAATTAAAATGCACATCCAAGAGCATCACCTTGCAGCAGGAAAAATTCATCTTAGATGCCAAACTGCTGTGCGTTGCAAAAGAACGACGACCTTTTCAGGTTCCCCCCCTTTCCACAGGGCAGACATGGGCCAGATTCTCAGCTGGCATTGAGCAACGCAACCCTACCGGCGGGGTGGCGGCTCGGTGAGTCTACGAACTCGGAATAGCGCCAAAGAACAAGAGATAAGTGATCCCTTTCCGTCCATCCATCTGCTTAGTCCGCATCTCGTGCCATGGGAGCCGAGTGCTAATTCACAGCAGGGGTCACATTCTGCTCCTGTCTGCACGCCAGGCGTTTTCACTGACACTGGTGGTGGCTGTGCAATGCGTTGCAGACAGCCTGTTTAGAGAGGCAAGGAACAACAGAAAGACCCACGCTGTCGCTGCCGCCTGTAGGAACGGCATTAATCCATCGGCCCCTTTTTCCGCGCCCTTTCATGTCATTGCTTCACACGGCTGCAGTACACGCCGCTGCGCGTGGTGAAAGGTGCAGCAAAGCCGGCAATGTCCCGCGTGCTCCTGCCAGCCGAGACGGGTCATCGGGCTGATTCACTCGACACTGTCCCTGTTGTTTTCTTGAATTCCTCTTGCCGCAGTGACTCGCCCCAAAGTAAAAACTCAGCGACATGCCCATTCTTCTGCGATGAGGCAAGTCTTTGCTTAATGCGTTAACCTTCGAGTGAGCAAATCCCCCTGCAGCTGGCAGCATACCCGCTCAGTACTTACAGCTTTTCTGTCCTTTCTGCCTGGCCAAATGCCCGCAGAGGTTATCATCTTCCCTACCCCCAGCCTCATCTTCAGCTTCTCTCCTGATGCAGACTACGGGTTTCTCCCTGTCCATGGAAAGCAGCGTCCTAACACCAGCACCTCCAGGGACCTACTTCAAAAATGATTTTCAAGTCTGACCCAAGGGCCTATGGGTGACTTCAGTGGTTTTTGGTTATTTGTCCCATCACTTAACTCCACTATATGTATTTTTACCAAGCAGACTCATTTCTCTGAAGTCATTGTTTTCTTAGGTACATTAATTGAGCCCTATTGGTTGGTTATGCCTTATTTTTCGGAAGGGCTGGCAACCAGCGTGCCTGGCCTTATATCTAAGTGGGACAGTAGCATTTCCATCCTTTGAACCTCTTATTCCCAAAGCGAGCTTTGGCACCGGGCCACAAGACAGCAGCAGGGAAAGGCTCCTTCTCGCCACATCCTGCCTAACAGGCTGGGCTTTCCCCAAGGCTAGTGTCCTCAGTGATGTGGGGCTCTCCTTCCCATGCTGCGCGGCTGGTCTGGAGATGCTCTCACAACCCAGCTGCTGCAGGAGCAATGGCAAGTCGCCTCCCGAGCAAAGCAGTGCAAGTGGCTCTGCTATGCCATCTCCCTACACTGCAGCTGCACGGTTCATAATTAAACAAGCCTCTGATTAGGGTCCAGAGGAGCTCCAAGCCAGGTGGTGGGATCAGAGGGGCTTTATAGTAGCCCAATCAAACATCTGGCTCAAGGAAAGCTGCCTCACTTATTAAATACAGGTAGGATGCTATTTGCCTTGACTGATTTTCGAGTTGTTGTCATGGGGGAAAGGAATCAGCTGGGATTTTTGTTTCTCACGGGCCCTCTCATCCTGCCTTGCTCAAGTGAGCAAGCTGGACTCCATTCAGACCAGTGAAATGTTTACTACTGGCTTCAATAAAACCCGACTTGCACCTCTCGAGTCCAGAAGTTGAAGGTTTGCAAGGCTTTTCCACCTCTCACATCCAACAGATGCAGCTAAGTGGGGAGTAGGACAGGCTGGCTGCCAAGCTAGCTATTGCAATGAGAAGTGAGCATTGTAAGTGCTCGTCAGACCACAAAAGCACGTCTGCCGGGGCAGCAAGAACTGGGTGTTTTTGTGTAGGAAAGTGCCTAAGCTTCTCTTTCTTTTTGAGCCTCTGCTTGCCTCCCACGTCAGCTCAGACAGGTCTGTGTCTCAAGGCGCTGATTGGGCTGTGCATAACCGTGCTCCTGATGCAATTATTAGATTAAAAATAACTCCCAAACCAATCAATTAGGAAAAGCATCGGCAGCAGACAGAAGGCGGCACATCCAGGCACAGAGCCTATCCAAAATGCGGCTCGCTCAGGTGCGCCAGGAGCCGTGCTCCGAGAGACATCGCCCGGTTGTGCACCGGTGCTGGTCAGTGTGGTTTAGGTTTTAGGAGCTCAAAAGGGAGCGATGGTGCCCTGCCGAACTCAGCATGAAAATGAATCAGCGGAGCTGGCTCATCAGCCTCTCGCTGGCAACGGGGCTTGCTCTTGTGCGGGGGGGCTGAATTTTTTATCCTCACAGCAGGCAAAGTTAATAGCTCCCAGGACTAGCAAAGTCAGCAGTGCTCCCCATTGCCACCTGGCAAGAAGCACAGCTCTTCAGCGGGAATAAGAGCTACAAAGCAAGCGGGACCTAACCCAACAGCCACCACACAGGGAAAAAGGAGCAGACCCCGCAATGGAAAGCTCAGCACAGGCAGAGATAGGATGGAGAACCAGAGGTCTCAGTCTATAAAAATCATGCGAGGTCTATATAATCTATATTTTAGAGGGCTAAACAATCATGAACGGCACGGATAAAGGGAACTGTTCTTCACCAAGTCCCAGAATACTACTGACATCAGTGAACTAACAAGGAAAAGTCCTTGCGGGATGCTCTGCCACGGGAGGAGGTAGAAGCAAAGAGCAGAGCCAGGCTCAACAAGGGACTAGACAAATGCATGAAGGATAAATCTATTCAAATAGTTGGAGATGTTTCCTGGCATCGCTATATCAATAATGGTGGGTGTCAGGAAGGGTCATGAATAGGGGATAGATGACTATATTCAGTGCTTTACCACTAAAGCATCCACCTCTGCCAATGTTGGACACAGACTACTGGGCTAGATGGACCCAGGATGGTACTTATATTCTTCTGTTCTTATGGACCATGGGTCTTGGCAGGTAAGGCAGCTTCCTTGCTGCTGAGAAATCGCACGCAGCGCATTGTGGTGATGCAGGAGGCACGGGCGGCATGTGAATGCCACGCTCCCTTCTTTGGGGAGGCTTTCTTTATTTCCCCTAGCTCTTTTTTTGTAACTCTTTCAAGGCCGGTGCAGGGAGATCTGACACCTTGCTTCTGTAATGAGATGGACTTCTTTCATTCCAGCTCAGACCAAAAACAGCTATCATTGAATGGCTTCTTGGAGGCTGGTATAAAACGAGTGTGTGGGTTTCAAATGTGCCAGGACATTCATCACCACCACCCACTGCTGGCTTTAACTGATCAGGTTTTGAAGATCCGCTGTGTTCAGAGGAATATAAAGAGGACTTTACAGGCTATGCCCACACCATGGCCTAGGCAGCCCTGCCCACCTGTCCTGGTACACACGATAAACTTGGAAATGCAATAGAGAAACTACTCTGGGGGGTGCCTCCAGCTGCTGCTCTCACGCAGGACGAAGCCTAACATCCATGGTCCGATAAAGACTTAAAAAAGACATGCTTGTCACCATGTTTCTGCTCCTAAAATGCTTTTTTATTTTTTTGCAATCCGTCTGCACTCGGGTATCAAAAAAGCAGAGGAATGGACTTGCCCTCCACCCCTTTGCTCCTGAAATAGCCTTTGCCCTTTGGCTCCCTGCATGTAGTTGGTTTGCAGCCCTGTTCTTTAGCTTTAAAAAGCAGCCGCGTGCTTCTGTTCTTTCGTTCCACCTTCCTGAGACCTGGAACGATAATTCCTGAAGGCATGTCCTGTGACATTTCAGCCCAGCCCAGGATTTAAATGTCAATGCTGCACGCGCGTCTCAGAGATTTTCACCCTCCACGTATTTAACATGTTTGAAAAGTTTTCTTTGAATGTGAATAATCCTTGGGTAGCTTATTGGAGGCTCTGTGTTTCATTTTCACTTCATTCCTCTACATTTGGAGGGTGGCTCGGGCACCTGGGATGCTGGCCTGGACTGCGGAGGGGGCTCACTTTTAGAAAAATGGCTGCGGTGGATATGCCAAACTGAAATGCCTAAAGAGCGGAGGAAAAGACGGCAGAGAGCTCACTTCCAATTATAGCGGCAGCCAAGATAAATTGTATAGCTGCAGGCCGTGAAAAAAATCAATGACGACTCGCTGAAGTGTCATAAAGCAACAGAAAAGTACTCTCCGTGGGCACGCTGCGAGTTGGCAACGGTGCTGGAGGACAACCCGTCTCAGCGACCGGGGTCCACGTTAGGGACTGCAGTGAGGGGTGGGGAGGTGGAGGAGGGAAGTGGGGTCTGTAGCCAAAGCCATAACATCCAAATTCTTTGCTAATGAGCGCCCTGGCAGATGACCAGCCTCCCAGGCCTGCAGCAACGCTGCACTTCCCAGAGCAAAGTCCTGGCCCCGGGGGAGTCACAGGTTTCAACGAGGCCAGGATTTCCCCGCTCCTAAATAGTCGCTACTATCACCCCCTTCAATGCTATTTTCCTCCAGCGTTGCAGCGACGGCCCTGCGTGTTTGAAAGCAGCCCAGCACCCCCTGGCCCTGCCTGAAATACTCCTTTCTACTTCCGAACAATCTCGCTTTTTAGCTCAGCAAAGGGCATTTTCGTGTGCGCCTTCTGGGGGGGCCAGGCCTGCCAGCATCGCACAAAAGATACCCGACGCTTGCTCGCTCCAGCTGAACTACGGCCACTCAAAGCCAGCGCCAGGGACGACACAGGGGATATGCTGGTTTCCAGCAACGAAAAGGAACATTTCTAGTTTGCTCGCTTATTTGTGGCGTGGCGTCCCAAGGCTCTGCTTGCCACCCCGCAGGGTCCTTAGCCCCCTGAGCCACGCGGGAAAGAGGCATCGTGAAACGTGAGATGTCCTTACCCGCCCAAGCTCTTTGTCCTCTAGAGCCAGCACGCCGGTGCTCTCCGTGAACAGCTTCACCTTCACCGCGGGAAGCGCGTGCGTCGTGTTGAAGTCACCTTGAGTGCCCCAGCTGTGAAAAACAACCAGGGGAAAGGGTTAGACACCAAAGCAGGATAGCTGTGCCACCACCCGGGTGCAGACACGGTTCATCTGGGACGTCGCCGCCTGTCACACACGCAGGAAAGCGTACGACTGTGTGAGCGACAACGTGCTAATTAACGTGTTAGGGAAACGCGAGACAGATGCTTAGAAAAGTTGTGGTTCTTCGTGGGAGACAACGGAGGACCTGGAAATCACAAGACAGCAAGTTTGAAGAGAACTTTATTTATTGGCATCTGGCTTGCACGTTAGCAAAAGCAAGCCCGGTACTCAAGCTGCAGTGCAATGCAAGTCTGTGCAGGAGTTACAGAATAAGAGGACATTCGTGACTCTACGGACAAGACATCTATAGTTCCTTGTACCTGATGTTCTTCTCCTACTTGATGTAGCTTCCCCTTCCCACCCCCCTTTTTTCTTGTTGGATGTGAATCTTGCTTCTTTCTAAGCTTTTTTTTCCCCCTATGGCTGAGAAAGCAGTGGAGTGGAGAAGACCAGAGCAGAGAGGTGCAAGCTTTTCAATGCTGAGCTTCCTACGGGCTCCAGCTGCCAGCTGCAGTGGTCGCCTCTGCAGTCAGATTAGTTTAGCCTGGAGAGACTGCTAACGAGAAGGCCGAGTCCTCCTGATTGAGATGGTGGGGCTGATGATACGGATACTCATTCACCCAAGCACTGGCACCAGTTCATGATATACAACACGAGCTGGTGCAATTCATTACCCGACTCATCCATCAGATGCAAACCTGGAGTTGAAAGCAATGGCCTAGAGGGCAAATGCACTGCTTCCCATAGACAACTTCAGAGCCCAGCAAGTCCTCATATTACTCCCTAACCGAAAAGGAGCTAATGTCACAGAGCACATTTGCCTCTTTCAAGATTCAGCAAAATCACCTTAGTTTCAGGCAGGCCCCACCATATATTGCAGCATTTTGTATACTCGTGAGTAAGCAAAGTATAAAGAAACAGTGACCACTAAGTGCCTTGTGCTCATTAGTTTTTGATAAGTGCAGTTGAATTACAGCTCTTGACAATTTACAGTATCCCATTAATTACACCGCAACCAGTGTTTCCCTGATATATGGGGTCCTGCTGACTTCACCAGGCTGACAGTGTGTAAGGACTCACCCTGAGTCCACTGGAGCCAGTGGGCATAAAATCTTCCTAATAGCAGCTCTATTTCTGCTACTGATTTTTACTGAGAGTGCACTAAGGTTTGGATGAGAAGAGAGATTTAGGGAAGACCACCCAAGTCCTGTATGATGCTGCTCTGCAGGTGCTTGTCTCCAGATGTTGGACAGATGGGGGACCTGTCATTACAGCTGAAAAGGATTTGCAGCTCATTTAAATTTTGTCCCAGGAAATTTTAAGTCTTTCATGGCAAAGAGAGGCAGCTCCTTTCTCTCCTCACTTTGTGCTTAATAAATCCCTCATAAATCAGGACAAAGCATCCTTTTGATGGCTCTTCTCCTGAAAGCGGCTGTGACAAGGATGACAGGCAGAACGTGGAACAGCAGCCTTTGGTGACCTTTTCTCTGAAAAAAAAATTATCTACCAGGTTTTTGGAAAGCTGGGGTGAGACATCATCAGTAAAAAAAAATCCTCTTTGGAAGAGGAGCCACGTGAGTGAGTCTCTCAGGCTTGTAGGCAGATGCACCAAATCCATTCATCTGCTGACTGGAGCTCAAAACAAATGCAAATCTCAATGGAAACCTTGCCTGCGTAGGCCCCCTCTTATGAAACGGCCGGTACCTTCGGACTTTGCACGGGTTGACTCTGCTGCAAGAAGAGACTCCTGCTCGAGCCAGACAGGCTCAAACCATGATACAAACAGGCCAGGGTCCTGAGCTCAGGTGGCTTTAGTTATGCACCAAGGCAACATTTCAGGCTGGCTCGGTTTACCCCAGCTCTTTCCTCCAATTTTTTGCAGCATTGGGTAGGGAGCAGAATTCTCCCGCTGTGCAAATACCTAAATCCCTCACCTGCCTTCAGCACAGGGTGGCAGGTAACTCATATGCGCAAGCACTGAAATCAAAACACAGATGGCAGGTCTAATTTTAGGTCTACCAGTAAAGGCAGTGTTGCTCCAAACTGCGCGTTTCCTTGACAATAGCTCGCTGCCTGCTTTAACTCAGAGCGCTAGTGTTTTTCAGACTGCTAGGGCAAGTGATTTCTTTAGGACAGCACATGCGCTCCATCTGTCTGCAGTTCTCATTGCATTCATACGTCCTCTTCTCAAACTTACAGCAATGACATGCATGGACGATGCAGTTGTCGCAAGGTAAATGGATCGCACTAATGTACGTCGATGAGTTTTCAGGACTGGCTCCCCTTAAGCCAGCAACCTAGACATTTTTCATCCTCTTTTTAAAGACCTTGCTTGCCAGACAGGATATTTCAGACTTTCAGCTCCTGGATTTCCAGAGAAGCAATCACCCTGTTTCAAAACTGCAAATCTGCCACCTTTCTGGTACCAGGGACACAAAGATAAACTTCAGCATAATACAAATATGATGCAAGGTAACAAAAAGCATTCACAGCTGTATCAGGTATCCAGGATGTAGCCGTACTGGTCTAGAGGACACAGCAATCAGGACTCATGGTAGAGGTGATCTCTTTTATTAGACCAACTAGATTTTTGCAAAAAAAATTGTTTAATTCTTTTTTGCAAAAAAGTAGTTGGTCTAATAAAAGAGATCACCTCTACCATGAGTCCTGATTGCTGTTTCCTCTAGACCAGTACGGCTACATCCTGGATTAAAACTGTTTAATTGTTTTTTTGCAAAAATCTAGTTGGTCTAATAAAAGATAGCACCTCCACCATGCGTCCTGATTGACTTTTCACAGCTGTACGTCATTTTTTAATAGCCATGAAGACAGGCCGATGATAAAAGTTAGGACCTTTAGCACTGCACCTTGGTACTGATGAGGTTTTGGCCGCAGTGCCTGCAGTTTTACACGGGACACGTTCTGCTGCGGCTCTGAATCCGCACCCTGCTCCAGAGGCAGCAGGTTCTGGAAAGCACGACGGGCTGGCTTTTCCAAAAATGAGCCTGTGGACCCTGGGAGAATTGATGCAGGAAGTCTGAATGGCATGGGGTTGTGCTGAGCTAGCAACACCAAGCAAACTATTATTCAGAAGGCCTTTGCACAATTTTACCTGCCAGTTCAAAATATCTTTATTCCTACTGTTTCAACAGCCATCTGCTTAGACCTGTTTCAGCGCTGAGAACTGCTCCCCTTTTTTTAATCCTAAAAGCTCCACGTTAGGTGATTCTGAAAACAGCCTCAGATGCCGAGGAGTTCGGAGCCTCTTCTGCAGCCTGGGAGAAACTAGTACGGTCCTGTCTAAAACCTGCAATCTTATTCTAGTTCACATTTGTACCAGGGGGAATCCATCTATCCTGCTCTTTACTTCTTACCATAAATCTATGCTGGAAAACCTGATTCCCAAGTAGTTTTTGGAAACATTTTTGAAAAATTTTATCTGGAGTCTCATTAAAACACCCCCAAAAAACTACATAAGAAGAAAACTATTAAAGGTTGCAAACAAAACCAAGTCCTCAAACCTTAGGGATTGCTAGAATTAAGGCATAGTTCAGGCTCCTTGTGCATACTGCATTAGGACGCAGTCCTTAATTATATGATCACATAATATTTTTCCGCAGCAACTGAAAACAGAGTCTTCTAATGGGAACTGGGGATCATACTTAACTAATGAGCTGCACCTATAATTATTGCTATGAAGCATCCATTTACTTTTCAGCTTTTTTCATTTCTATTTGCAGACACTTTTTTAGGCTCCTTCCATGCCCTCCCCACTCTGCGATGAAACGTATTTGGAGAGGAGGAGCTGCAATGCTCAGAAGTATTCCCTGTGAGGGGAAAATCCAAAGCAAATGGGGAGCAGTGCTAATGGCAGTACCATGACACCTCCATGCAGATGAATGATCAGGGTATGGAAGGGATTTATGAGGTGGCTGTCTGCAATGATATGATAGGGGACAGGTCTTGAGGACTCAGAAGCTCCCTTCCAGACTTCTCTTCTTGATGAGTCCAGGGGACATGCAGCTCAGCATGAGATTTTGCAGGAACTCACCTGACTTCTAACAGAGTTAGCTCTTATCTCAGCCGTAAGGAGAGATTGCTCGTGCAATCCAGCAGAGAATGGGTGCACCAGCATCTCAAATGCCTGATGAGAAGCTTGCTGCTGCTGCCCTTGAGCCATTTACTGAGCAGGCGACCCTTGTACCTAACCCTGACTGCACCAACAGACCCAGGTTTTGCCTCTTTGACACAAGCATT